GCTATGGTCCAGGTGGCGCAATCATACGAGGTGGCTAGGATAAACACGAGAGAAAAAGAGGTAGAGCCCAATGGTCATGGCGAGGGGACTCGTGGCCATGAGCTTCACCTACATGAGTTGGCATCCGTCATCTTTAACCATCGTATCCAGATTCACCTACTAGGTCAGGCCATAAGGGCTCATTGTGTGCGGGTGATATCCGTACCAATGTTCAGTCCACAATGGCCAAGTCCTAGGGTCGAATCGGGTTACTAATAATTGTAGTACGTTGGAGTCAACTAAAAGCAAGGGAGCGAGTTATGCTCGCCATTACGGCCACGGTGGGGCGAACCCACGACCGAAATGGTCGAACGAGGTACAATCCCTCGACCAGCGCGAAGGCACGGTCCTCAAGCAAACAACACCAATACACAAGAACCAACTCAACGCAAGAACCAAACCGACACAACCGCAACGGTGGAGTAGCATGCTTCCATAGCGACGAGGGAGTTAAATAGACCTACACAAGGGCACGGTGCAGACGTTTATAGATAGATCAAGATCATGTGTGATAAGTGTATGAACATCGTATAAGGAGGAGGAGGAGGGGCTTTCATCGGTGTCGGGAATGGCGTTCGACTAAGATTTGACTTTGTGGCAAAGATGTGGAGGGCCAAGGGCTGTTGTAACTTGTCCCGGAGGGTTGTGGCTTCTTCTGGCTAGCTGAGGCCAACTACGGCCTGTCATGGCTAGCTGTGGCTTGCTACGGCTGGCTACAAGTGGCTATGGTTGGCCAAAGGCTGGCTACGCTTGGCTGGGCATGGCGGCGACTGGCTAGGAGGTAGCTACTGCTGTCGAGACAGCAAGGGTTAGTGAAGAAAGTGTCCGACAAGATGGTGGGACCTTCCTGTAGGTCTAAAGAAGAGGCAGGTCTCGGTCTCATATTGTGCGGCATAAAATGGGCAGGCAAGAACATGTCCATGGCGTAGAGCTTGATTTTAGAAAAATGTGGGAACTGGTTTCATATTTTTCTGAGGTCGTATAAATTTTATATGAATTTCAAAGTTAAATCCATTTTCTGAAAAAGAAAAAGGAAAGGGTGAACTAGGGCTTGACACGTGGCGGCACAGGGGTTGGTCCAATGATAAAAGTGGGCAGAGGTGGGCCCTCGACCTTTCATCCCAGCAGACAGTGGGCCTGATCAACGGTCAACGTTGACCGATCAACGGGGCAACAGGGTTGGGCCCAGTATGGGCTTGGATGGGCCGGATTGGGCCGACCCGGGCCCGGACACGTGTCATGCAGGGAGGCCATCCACGTGCTCTATTGGGCTCATAGTGGGCCTTAGCCCACGGGGCTAGTTGCTTGGCTGGCCCATGGTGGACGACAGGCTGTGGGTCTATAGACCGCTCTCCCGGTCTATGGTAGACCACGTTCATCTCCTCCTCCATCGTTATGGTTCATGATGAACCGGGTTCGCGGACTGGTGGTCATTTGTGTTCGGGTCCATGGGGGTCGGCTCATGGTGGTCGCATGCATGTGGTCCATGGACCACAGACGCGGTGCGCGGTGGATTGCGTCCACCTCTCCTCCTTCACTCTATGGTTCATGTGGATCCGGTGCATGCTGCTACTTCTTCTCCTCTCCTCTCTCTGTTTTTCCCCGGCGGCGAGCTCGCGCACGTGCGCGATGCGATGGCATGGCATGGCGGCGGGTGGCTTCACGGTCTTTTGGGGCATAGCGAGGGCATCCATGGGCTCAAGGTGGGGCTTTGGTCCCCATGTGGCCGGTAGGGACACCACGGCGTCCACGGCGGCATGGTGATGACGGCGAGGCATGTAGGAGCGCCACGGGCGTGCCGGCGGGGCCACGGGGAGATGCAAAGGCTTCCCAAGCTTGAACGGAGGCGGTTAGGGCGACCGGAGGGGGCCACGGGGCTCGGCCACGGCCGGCCATGGCGATAGTGGCGCTGCGCCGGTGGCGGGCGGCGGCGTGATGGCTTAGGCTCATCTCAGAGCCATGGTCGGCTCTTGTCGTTCGATTGAGGCCAAGGCAGGGCTAGGGTTACCTCTACTGGAGCTAAACGGCCGGAACAGGACGGCGCCGTGGATAGCTTCGGTGACGGCGACCGCGTGCAGGCTCGGTGCGGCGGCGCTAGCTTTCACGAGAAGGGAGGGCTCGGCAAGGCGAGGCTTGGCCGTGTCAGTGTGTGTGCGCGTGTGTGGAGGTTGTCCGGGAGCGGTAAGGCTCTGCCTTGCGTCCTCCTTGGTGTGGAGGACGCGACGGCGGCGGTCATGGTGGAACGCAAGCGGTAAACCGGGGCGCTCACCGTCGGTGTTGACAGAGGCGAAAGGATGGTGGTGTAGTGGCGAGGTGTTGCCGTGGCGAGGCGACGCCGTGCCGTGCCGAGCAGCAGCACCGATGTTGCCGATCGGTGCGACGTCCCAATTCCGGCGGCGGCGAGGTCAACGCGGCTCCGCCGGTCGTGACGCGATGGCGTGGCTCAAAGAAGACGGGCGACGCGCGGGTCATCGATGGTGCGGCCGTGGCCGTGTGCTGCCGCTGCCCCGAGGCGATGCCGTGGTTGGCACTGGCTCGGCCTCATGGTGTCGTGGTCATGGCGCTTCTGGGAAGAAGCAGAGAGGTGGAGGGGGCTCTATGGCGGCGGACAGGAGGGGGATGCCGAGGGCAAGCGGCCGGTTGTGGCTTTATAGCACGGTGCTAGGGTTCGTGAGCGGTTTTGGGCGTTCATGCCCACCTGATGCGACGGCCGGAGCACGTGGCGTCCATCCGCCGCTCGGGGCAGGTGCTCGGCTGCTTCGGCTACAAGGAAGTGGGCTCTAGGGCGGTCGCTGCTCTGTCACGCTTGCTCGCCCACGATTCGCGGCGTGGGCAGCGGCTTGGCGGGGTCCAGGCTGGGCGCTGGATGCCTTGGCGACTCCAATTTGGAGCGGCGGCCGGTAAAAAGTGGAGGCGGGTGGCGTCAGTGGGCATGGGCCACGGCGACGACGTCACGCGCGGCGCGGCACGACCTGGGGCAAGGCGTGGTGCCGCGGATCGCCTGCGTGGCTGCATCCGGGCGCGCGTGGGGGTTGGTGGTCAGGTCCGGACGACTGGGATGCGGGGCGTGGCCTGGGATTCCTTCTCGCGGCGCACGGTGCTCTGCTTTTGCCAGAACAGAGGAGGCGAGGGGGACTAGGGGAAAGGGATGACCGGTGGGGGCTCCTTGTCAGCGGGCGCGGTGAAGCGGAGGCGGCCTGGTGCGTCGCGGCATGGAGCGGGCCGCCTGCTCCGGTTGGACCACGCGCGCTCATGGGCTGGTGGGTGCTATAGATTTGAGTCTGACGGAGACACAGAGGAATTGAGACGAACTCAATATGATAGAGAAAAGGTGCTATAGATTTGTGCACTTCGACACAAAACCCTAAGCGCATCCAAGAAACTCCGGCAAGCTCCTACAAGTAATACTACATGTATGCAACAATTTATTTATAAATTGTCTCTAGTTTGACCTAGCGACTGCAAGCTTCACATATTGCAAGAAAAATTTTAAAAAGTTCGTATTTTTTGCTTCTCCAAAAACCCGGTTTGACCACTTTGTCGTTTCTTGTTCCTTTCACCACACTAACCTCTCTAAAAGAAATCAATCAAGTTCAATCCCTCTTGGCTTGATGCAAGGTGTAACCTGGATGGACGGTAATTAAGTCTTATTTTAATCTATGGAATTAATTATGGCTTGGTCACAGAAAAGCTTCCCAACAATCAACGCAACAAGGAGTGACATTTCCACTTAAATGACCGGTGACTTGTCCTAAAAATATGCTAGGATTCCATATACTAGGAACACAAATATTATCTGGCATTCATATTTGCGTGTATTTTTCTTCTTCTTTTTGCATATTGGAAACAAACAGCCCTTGACAACTCGAATTCCTACATTTAATTTTATTAGGAAAAATATATTGCCAATAACCCTACCCTTTTTACTTTAAGCAAGGACAAGTTAAATTTATATTACAAATTCTTGTTTAAGACTTTTAACCACTAGTCAACCTTCGACCAACCTCATTCACGTGAGGGGTATGTCCATCTTTTGATTGTTATCACTCTGAGAGAATTATCTCTATGGCCTAGAAAAAATGCTGTTTAGATATATGGCCTCCTTTTTTTTTTTAACTTGGCTCTATGGCTTCAAAACAAAAATTGTTTGTGTTCATAGCCTTCCTTCTACTCGGTTAGGGTTGTCTGTTAGTTTCTCCACTGTTGGTCTCGTGAAAAGACAAACTTCCCTTCAGCATCTGCTTCACCCGCCGCACACCCAGCCCCGACGAGAAAATTGTAATTATAGGACGCGAAACAATGCGCTTCGCTATTATAGGACTCCAAACATCGACTTCGCTAAAACGACCCTTAAAACGTTGACACTTTGTTATACATGACATTTAGTCTTTTTAATCACTTTTCTCAACTAAAATACATGTATTTTGCCATGATGTAACCGTATTGCCCTCGAGGCTTCAATTGACGTGGGATGGGGCTTTGGCCGCTCGCCTATAATTGCAATTTTTTCCGCCACGCCTGGTTGCGGGAAGAGAAGACCGAAAGCCATGACCTTGCGTTTGCCTTTGTCATGCACAAGGCAGAGATAACTCTGAACGATTCCTCCTCGTCATTCTCACCGGGTTGGAGCCGTAACGGTAAATCTGTCTGCACCATTGTTGCGGATGGAGGCCGCCAAAGGGTCGTCGGGTATTCTTGACGTATATACAACAGTTGACATATGTACTGCATGGTAACCTCTCTAAAAGATGTTCTCGCATCAAGCACAAGAGAGGGGCCCTTGCATCGCACAACATAGTTCGTTTTGATGATACACAAATAGAGGGCTCTGCAGCAAAAAGGAAACAATTACAGGATCAAAACAAGCACCTTGATAGTTATGCATGCCAATCAGGAATGAGGAGCTGAATCTGGGGGTCATTGTATGCATTCTGGACAAGATGACTCAATCCGATCATGGCTCAATCTTTCACCTGCTGCCCTACCTAACAATTCAAAGAAAAATCGTGAGTATCGTGGTACCATCAAATCTGATGTTTGCACTAAGAAGAGAAGTAACCAGTCCTAATAACCATGAACAGATGCGAGGATTCAGTTTGGCTGTTCACTATATAGGATGGACCAGCACCAATACTAGTATATTTATCCACATGAATTGGGTTAGGAGAGTTGTCTGTCATTACATGATCCTCGCTTATCCAGTTTAGCATAAGCCCCCTTTTCAGCTGGTCCACTAACTCCTGCAGCCAAACACACACTACGCGCGTTCACTATGAAGAAAGTGGCAACCGAGTCAAATATGTTCACATGAAAACTTGTACCTGTTGAGCAAAACTAAAGTTATCTGTCAGAGTGTAAGGACCACCAAAAATTCTGCCCCTACAAGACAGTGCACACACAATTGAAGAAAAGCTTCACGTTTTTCTCTGTGCAAAAAAGTAGTTTCATTGTGCCTGCCTCCGAGAGAGCACTCTCTAGCATGCTTTGTCATTTTCTTCCAGGGCTTGTGTTCCATGTTTACCCTGAGAATCTACATACCGAGGAATGGCGATGATGTCATGTAAATAAACTTAGAGTTATGAAAGAAAATGTTTGGGATTTGATAAAATAAATGTTGAGTTTACTTTGGCAAGGTTACTTTATTTAACCTTTAAAAAGTCTTCCACAGTAAAGATGTTCTCCTTCTCCAGCCTTTCTGCGTAAACTTTGGCAATCTCCTCCAAACGATGCACGCTATCATTTAGTTTTGGAGGATGACTCTTTTCATTTGCTGTAAAAAAGAAAGGAAAATGACTTGCTGTTAGCTTGTCACACATCAACCAAGAACAATTGAATGCATGCTATGAATCTTGGACCATAGCTGTATGTCATAAATGGTCTTTCAACTTTGCCAAGTAATAAAAAGAAATATGGATGGCAACAAACCTACATTTGTTTCTGCGATCCTGCACAACCACAGGGTTCATGACTTGTTGAATCTGGAGACCAGATACCTCACCCTCACAAACTCTTGCCCCAATGATGAACTTCCCGCCATGTTGCACGACCCTTCTGTGAATTTGATGCTACCAAGATCGCAGCCTTCTTAAGCTGGGCTTTTGTTCTTCACCTCCCAATACATTTCCGTTATCCCGAGAATTGGCTCTATGTTTATTGAACTTTTAGGAGTTCTTTGGAGAAGCATGAGGAAAGTCACCCTCAAGCACGAAGATCTCAATTTGCAGGTTTGAAAGCCCGCCCGATTCGATCATCTTGTCCCCATTAAATATGCCAACCTTAATGGCTGTATTGCTCTCAGATTTTATCTCATCGTCATGGCAACTTGTAATTATAGGCGAGCGCCAAGCAGCCCCATCCCACGCCAATTGAAGCCATGAGGGCAATACGGTCACATCATCTGTTGAAAATACATATATTTTAGTTGAGAAAAGTGATTAAAAAGCACCAAATGTCATGTATAACAAAGTGCCCTTTGTTTCAGCGTTTTAGCGAAGTCGATGTTTGGAGTCCTATAATAGCGAAGCGCATTGTTTCGCGTCCTATAATTGCAATTTTCTCAGCCCCGACCCGAGCGGTTCCGTCTCGATATCGATAGAAAAAAAAAAACTCGCACCCACCCAGCCCGATGGCGATGGCGCCGCCGCCCCCGCCCCTGCCGGCGAGCAGGTGCCGCGGCCGGCCTCCCCACCTGCAGATCCGGCGCCGCCGCCGGGTTCTCCCGCCCCGGGACCGCGCGATCCGGCGCCGCCTGGCCCCCATCCCGTCCCTCCTCGCCGACCCGGAGGCGCTGCCGCTCTCCTCGTGCAGCGCGCGCGGCCAGGGCCGGTCCGGCGCGGCCGGCTCCCCCAGCGGCCCGGCGCCGCGCGGCCATCCCTCCAGGACGGAGCCTGCCGGCCAACCCTCCAGGGTGGAGCCCGGCGCCCACAGCAAGCAGGTCAGCTGCCCTTCATCCAGCGAGCAGCCAGGCGTGAGCAGCCAGGCGCGGCCCCTCCAGCGACGAGCCCCTCCATGGCGCCGTCGTGCCCAGCACCGGCGGCCATCTCCACCCCAACCTCCCTGGCGCCTCCACTTATCGCCGCACCACACCAGCTCGCCGAGCGGCCTGCAGCACACGATCTGCACTCCTTCCCTTCCAGCGCGCACCCACAGCAGCGCCACAGCGCGTGATGCAAGCAGCGACCGGCCGTGCCCTGTGCAGCTCTTGTTAGCTTGATGACATCATTCCAACGTCATTCGCAATTAATGGCCGTTTTCCTTTATAAAAACAAATCCTCAAATACATATCAAATACACATTTATTGTGGACACGGTCCATTGTTGACTGCTCTCACAGCACTTCCCGGTCCACGGACCGTAGACCGAGTGCGCAGCATAGTGCACCCATACTTGCAATGCATTTGTGAAACTGAAACTATGGTTTAATTGCAATGCATTTGTGAAATTTTAATGCGTTGGATAAGATCATTTTATTGCAATATATATATATATATATATCTACTTGATTGCATATGGTTATGTTTTAAATTTATTTACTTACTATTATTCCAAATATACAACCAACAGAACTCTGTATTTTTATAATTTTTTTCTTCAAGGGTAAAATGGTCTTTTTACCCCTCACTTAACACCGTTAACCCTCCAAAACGAACGGAAGGCCATGGAGCCGACCAAAATTGATTCCAAGGCTATAGAGCCAAGTTCGAAAAAAAAGGTCATGTACCTAAACGGCATTTTTTCCAGGGCCATAGAGATAATTCTCTCTATCACTTTTTTGTTATCATGTATTCCTCCGTTCTAAATTATAGATTGTTTTATCTTTTCTAAATATATTTATTTTATTATATATCTAGACATACTTTATATCTACTACATGTCTAGCAAAATTATGTATATAGAAAAAACGAAATGGCCTATAATTTAAGATAGCGGGGTAAGATTGAGCAAGTCTGGTTCCAGAAAAAAGAATACAGTAAATTGGTAGCACTGGGTAAATTCCCCATGCGTTACTGTTTGCATTTGCAAGTAATTAGAAACATGGACATTAAAGTGGTTGATGGGGAGTGGAATAACTGCATCGTGAGTTCATTTGAGATTTGAGATTTCATAGTAGTTGGACATGTAAATGCAAGATAATGCAAGTAATTTGTTTCATCTCAGTATGGTTGCCATGTATCTTCAGCAGAGTATTACAACAGATACCAAACCTAAGTCTACATATAGGGAAGACATAAGTAGGAGAAAATAATAAGAGCAGTTTATTTTCACTCTAACATGGACCTTAAAGAGGGCCCCTACTCCACTTTTTGGAGGCAGAGTAAAAAAAATAATTCAACAGGTCTTAACTCAAACTCCCACTTTATGGAAGCCTCCAATTCCTCCCCTTTGGCCAAGAAGCAGGTTTTTTCACTCTTTCATCTATTCTTCAGTCCTGTCTTGAATAGAAGCTCTGTAACTGATTTGGGCTCCATTTATTGACTATTGCAATTGGCAAGTATGGAGCTAAAACCCTCTACCAGAGCGACAACAAAATTCGGAGAAACTACAAATGGTTTTCTAGCAATCTAGCTTCAGCAAATGGCGACAACCAGGAACACTTGCAAGATTCTTTTCCAGGAATGACTGTACACGCCACACGGACACGGCCCGGTCGGAGACGCTCGCCACTTTTCCACACGGCGTATCGCCATGAAAGCACCACCGTTTTGTGCACCGAAAGTGCTTGGAGTTGCCAAGAAAAACACTCCCGCAGCACTGTAGCAGACTAGCAGGGCAAGCTCCAGACGCGGATAGCCGCTGTTGATGCTGACCACGAGCCGCCAGCTCCGGCGGCGCCGGTCGCTAGTGTCATTTCGCTCAGTCTGACGAAAGGGATATTACTTGAGCGAATATATGCCGACCACAAGTGGCAGAGGCCATGGAAACTCCGAAAATGAAAGTTTCCTCCCACTACTAGGAAACAGAATTGCTTTCATTACATACGATCTGGACAAAAGAACATGTAAATGCAGCGAAAGATCCGAGATAGTTACATCTTACATGAACAAAGAAACAACATAGCACTTACACTGGGATCCGGATATCCCAAGAAATTGCAGGAGTAAACAACAGAGTCAATAGCGAGGTCAAGGCAAAGTCACGGACGCCACTGGTAGTACCAGTCCGTCACCGTCCTCAGCTCAGCTACTATTTTCTGGGAATGTACCACCACGCCGCGACACGATCCCGACGCGGTCACGGGCCCTCGCTCCACGCGGCGGAGCTCATTCTTAAAATCACCGCCGCTTTCCACTAACGTACTCGTCGTCGGAGCTCTACTTTCCAAGCAAGAAAGCATGCCGCAGTCCCCAAGCTCCAGACGCGGAGAGACGGAGCTCGTTGACGTTGACCCCAACCGGCCACCTGCTCCGGCGCCGGCCGCTCCTCCGCCGCCGCTGCCCGGAATGGTCACCACGGCGAGGGAGGCGGACGCTTACTTCCTCTGGGAGCTGCGCAAGTACGTGCTGCTGCAGGCCATGCTGGCGGCCAGCGTCACCTACTCGGCGGGCCTGAGTCCGCCGGGCGGAGTCTGGCCCGACAACGACAACGCCGGTGCACGCCTCGCCGGCGACCCGGTGCTCCAGGTCACTTATGGCCGCCGCTACGGGATCTTCTTCTACTTCAACGCCACCGCCTTCGTCGCCTCCATCGTCACCATCAACCTCCTCCTCATGCAATCCCTCAGCCGCCACCGCGGGTGGCTCCGCGCGCTCCAGGCCGCCATGATACTCAACCAGCTCGGCCTCATGGGCGCCTACGCCGCGGGCAGCTGCAGGGAGCTGGCCATGTCCGCGTACGTCGTCGCCCTCGTGGCCCTGGTCTCCTCCTATGTCTGTGCCCACGTCCTGCTCTTCGTGCTGTGCGCCCTGAGGAGGCGCGGCGCCGGCGCAGACGACGCCATGCCAGACGAAGAGCGTGGGACCGTGGAGCGCTCACGCAAGTACCTCCTCATCTTCGCGACCCTTGTGGCGACTGTGACGTACCAGGCCGGGCTGAGCACGCCAGGCGGGTTCCTGTCGGACAGCCAGGACGGCGACCACCTCGCCGGGGACCCCATGCTCCGCGGTCACCACCCGGACCGCTTCATGGGGTTCTTCTACTTCAACACCACGGCGTTCGTGGCGTCTCTGGTGGTCATCATGCTGCTCATGAGCCGGACCGTGACCCGTCACGGGTTCCGCTCGTGCGCCCTCTGGGTGTGCACGGGTGCAGCCTTGATCGGCCTCACCGGTGCGTTCGCCGTGGGGAGCAGCAGAAGCGTCAAGACATCCATCTATGTCGTTGCCCTGGTGGTTGCTGTTCTGTCGTACATCGGCCTTCAGGTTCTGGTGTTCTTCTGCGAGCCTGTGAAGAACTGGGTTGACAGTGTCCAAGGCACGCTGCAAAGGTATCTGAGACTGGACCAGATCGAGCCACAGGATCCCCGGGTTCGTGCAGTGCATGATCCACATGAAACCGCCGAGGCCGACCAGCTTCTCCAGAAATCCCGCATGTACCTGCTTCTGCTAGGAATCCTTGCGGCGAGCGTCACATACCAAGCAGGGCTGAACCCACCGGGTGGCTTCTGGCAAGCAAAGGCTGCTGATGGTGTGCATCACTATCTAGCCGGTGATCCAGTTCTTCACATCACATATCCACGGAGATATCTGGTTTTCTTCTACTGCAATGCCACAGCCTTTGTCGCGTCATTGGTTATACTTATCCTCCTCCTCAGCAACATATTCAGCACCCAAGGAATCAAGTACTGTGCATTGCAGGTCTCCATGATCATGGACCTTCTTGGGCTGATTGGTGCCTATGCTGCTGGAAGTTGCAGGCAAGTGTCCAAATCCGTGTATGTCTCCGTGCTTGTCATTCCAGTGTTCCTGTATGTTGGCATCCATGTCATGGTGTTCATGTTAGAAGTCTTCCCAAATATTGCCAAATGGAGGAAAATTGTGAGGGACAGGCTGGAGGAATCTGTGCCCAGATGGCTCAAGAAGTTGTTTGAGCTGCCGCCAGAGGAAGATGAGAACATGAAGTGGAAACTGGAGAAGAGGCGCAAGCTTCTGCTGCTCCTTGCCATTCTTGCAGCAAGCCTAACCTACCAGGCAGGCTTGAGTCCACCTGGCGGCTTCTGGCAAGAGAATAAGACAGGCCATGTCGTCGGCAACCCAGTGCTCAATGACAACTACCGACGTCGTTACATGGCTTTCTTTTACTGCAATGCAACTGCCTTTGTCTCATCTCTAGCCATCATCATGCTGTTGGTGAACAGAAAGCTTTCGTCGAGAGGAATACAGTCGCACGCGCTCAGCGTGTGCGTAGTCCTTGACCTGGTTGGGCTCATGGGTGCATTCGCTGCTGGGAGCTCAAGGAAGGTATCCACATCCATATATGTCCTCGTCCTGGTCTTTGCAGTTCTAGTCTACATCACGCTCCAAGTTGTTCTGGTTATGTCCGAGTCGGTTGAGGGTCTCTTGCAGAGACTCCTGTCCTTCTTTGACATAACAGAGGGAGAAGCTGGTTTCATATTGCCGCATACAGCAGTCAACAATGGAGGGCCACGAGATCTCTGGCATGAAAAGTTGCCCAAATACTTGTTGCTCCTCGCAGCACTTGCAGCTACTGTCACCTACGAAGCTGCCATGAACCCACCCGGTGGCCTCTGGGATGATGGCCAAACTGGTCACGTAGCCAGTGACCCGGTCCTTCGGAGCAGCTATCCAAATCGTTACAAGGCTTTCTTCTACTGCAATGCAACTTCTTTCATGGCGTCTCTTGTGATTATGGTCTTACTTCTGATCAAGCGAGTATGCAGAGAAAAGCAGGCCATCTTGGCGTTGCACACCGCCATGATACTGAACTTGTTTGGCCTCATGGGTGCGTATGCTGCTGGAAGCTGCAGGAGACTGAGGACCTCTGCTTACATCCTCGCATTAGTGATAGGAGTGTCTGTGTACATTGTTGTTCTTGTCATAGTGTCCATAGGTATCGCGAAACGGCTGAAAGGAGTAATGGATGAGCTAGTGGAACAAGTGATCTGGTGCTTCTCTGTAGAAGATTTGTAAAACCTGGGTACATGAGCATGAAAGGTGTCATAAATTGTACATACTTTTTTGAATTTTGGATAGGCTTACAGATATGACTTATATTATAATATTTTCTGAAGCATTGTTGTAATTTGAATAGTAGGTTTGTACTATCTCTAAGTCTGGCTTGTTTACGGAAAATTCCATGCTGGATCGATGTTTCCTTCGGCTTAAATTAGCTATCCTTGCAAATACAACCTTCTAGGTATTCTCCTTTCTATTCTACTAGTGTTAACTGTAAGGAAAGATGTATGTTATATAAGGTATCCTTGATAGTACATTGCTAAAAAAATTTAGATCACGATGGGGAAAAACATAAATATTTGTGCCTAAGTATCCTTGATAGTACATAAGCCTTTGGTCTTCATGGCTTTCATGGCATAACTAAAGGTATCCGTGACTTGAGCTACTATAATAGCATCTGCTCACCAAAATCAAAATCTCACAATAGTATCGGCTTGATATAATGTGCTACTGCTCAAGCTATAATGAGTTAATTTCACAAAACTACAACTATTTGTGCCCAACAGCACAAGTATCTAGGAACTACCAGATAGCAATTTCACAGACCTGCAACATTTTACTAGACCCACATGTGAGCCAGACAGCCACAAAGTTATGTGTGTGGACCCACACATGGATTTGTGTGCCTGACATGTGGGTCCATGGAGAATGTTGTAGGTTTGTGAAACTGATCTCAGGTGTTATGGCTCCTTAATAACTTGGCATTAATATCTGTAGTTTTGTAAAATGAATTCTAAGTAAAAGCTTCCAGTTTTTTGCCAATATTTTCAGGAAGTGTTTTTCGCCAAAACTCAACAGAGAAATATTGCCCTGAACATTAGCAAAGAGAACACCATAAGCATTCGAATTTGGGGTATCAAACCATAACAAGTGTGCGTACCTATATTTTTCCAGTGATTCGCAATAAAGGTCCTGAACATACTCCCTTTCCATACTTTGATGTCAATTTTGGGGTCTCCACTTTGAGGGAGGATTGCATTGGAAAACAACAGCTGTGTCAGTATATGCAACCCACGAGTACTTAATATGTTTGTTTTGGAGAGCCACTTCCTGCATAGGAGAGAAAGGAAGAAATTTGAGGATATTACAACTGCATAGGGAAAATAATTTGATAGCAACGTAATTATTGACACCATGAGACATTACTTGTGTTTTTTCTTGACCTCACCTGCATTTGAAACGAATGTATGATCCACAAGCTCAAGCTGAGGTCTTTCTACACTTTGAAGAGTAACTTCTGCGATGACACCTAGGCCACCAAGTCCACAGCGAGCAAGATAAAACAACTCATGATCCTTCTCCCTTGATAACTCTCTATTGTCCCTTTGGCAGGGGTAAGCAGTTTCATGCTAATGGCTTGCTCATCAACCAGAGGGAAGCTTGCACCAGTGCCATGGGCACCAACCTGTGTTGAATCATGAATAGGCCTGAACTGGGTAAGTAAGTCACAATTGTACAATCTGCGAAGGAATACTGGGACCGGCTACAATTGGAGATCTCAGGAATTCGGATAGGATGATGAGAAGAGCTTTCTCAGTACAGAAGGACCCTATGAAACTACTTAACTACTGTCTACTGGTAAAAGGACCATCAGATTCTGAAACACACATTTCAAACCCATCAACAGGCTTATCTGATTCCAGACAATTTCACACATTTCAGAGAAATCGCCTACATCTACATGTTCTAGTCTCAGCTGTTAGCGTTGTTAATCTATGACACAAAGATAAACATCTCCTCGGAGCTTGGAATAAGAAATTTGAAAGGTGGATATTTCTCTGCAACAGACCTGAATGAATGAATCCTCCGACCTGCTGCTCCCGAATGGACGCAAAGTTCTGCAGCCTGTGTCCATGTTCCTTGAGCACGTCGGCGAGCTCCGAAACACGTATCGCCTACACCGTGACGGTCTTCTTCTGAGCATCAACATCGATCAACTTGTCCATGAGCGCGACGCCGGCCTGAGCATGCGTATCTCGCGGCGGCGAGCGCGCCCTCAGTGCCGAGAGCGAGTCTGCCTGCAGGAGGACGCGGGCATGGACCCCGTGGTGCTGCTCCAGACCTCCAGTTGGATACGGCGTGCAGGTCCTCCGGCAGCGGCGCGCACCGGAACGGAACGGCCTTGTTGTGCAGCTCGTCGGCGGGGAACGGAACGGAGTAGTAGGTCGCGGCGCCGCAGCCGAGGAGCAGCAGCGCGTAGCCTGCGCACTTGCGGAGATCGGCGTCGGAGGAGACCTGGGAGGGGGGACGGAGGAGAGGAAGGTGGTGGTGGAGGCCGATAGGGATGCCGCCGCCGCGGCGAAGGCAGCGGCGAGAGTGGAGGAGGTGCCGCATCGTGCCGTTGACCGTTGGGCGCCGCGGCCGGGGGGATGGGGGTGACTTGATGGGCTCATGGGCCATACGAACTCCAACATGTACATTTGGCCCACTAGATTTCAAACGACCGGCCCACGAGTTAGAAAAGGATTTGTGACTTGCCAGGCCGTTGCTCCTGATTCCTGGGCTGTTCGGTTCGGTTAGTGCCGTACGGGGAGCAAGAGAAATATAGCCCAGCTCAAAGACTAATCAGGCCACGATGTGGACGTGCACTTGCACGCAATACGGTGGTGGTTGAACCGTGCCAAAAAGGTTATAGCCGGAATCGGATTACAAAAATCCATATAAATATATATATTATAACACTTCTGGCTCTCTTTAACCTAGGGCAACCCCTTTTTTACATATATTGGGAAGAAGTAATAGAGTTGAAAATGTTAGAAATGCATATACCGTGAACATTCCAAATTAGAAAGACTTCTTATTCTTACCATCTTCAACCTAGGGCAACCCCTTTTTTATAATATACTAGTTAACATACATGTGCGGCACACACGTGCTTATAAGATATATTTCGTTTTTATTTTCTATTTTCTAGCTTGCTTGCTGATTTCTTTCTAACCTAGTATTTTTCATGTTTTTTTTAAAATCAACAATTTTTTATACTTATATCTGTAATTTTTTTGTATATAATTTCTCGTTTTATACATTTATAAGCATTTTTATTCTTTTTTGCTTTTTTTAATCTTTGTATTGCATGTATGTTGTGGCATTAGAGTTGCTTTTTTATTTTTTATCGGTGAGTCCAGTGGTGTCTCCAGCATCTTGCGACTCCTTGTCGCGCTCTATTTGGTGGTTGAAAGGTTCTTGTTTGGTTTTTGATAATTGATTGATAACATTTAGGTGGACTAATATGTGTGATATGCGAGATACACAGGAGATTAGTCCACAGGTGATGGTGTCATGAAGGAGTTCATTGCATATGAGACATGACATGGAGTCATGTGATCAAGTTGGAGAAGATCAAGATGAGGCTTGGCTCGATGGACCGGTTGTAAGTGTGAAGGGCAAGTCGAAAGCTTTAAAGTGATGAACCGCGAGGCGGTGAAGCTTGGGCAAGACTTGGCGCTGATGGACCGACGCAACGGTGAAGAGCAAGTGAGGTCAAGATCGATGGACCAACACGATCATGTGATGATATGGAGTGGATCATGTCATTCTTGGTCACGTTGGTGCATGGGTTGCATCGAAATTAGAGGAGATGGAATGGAATGCGCAAGGCAAAGGTATAAACCTATAGGGCATTTTATTTCACCGGTCATATGTGTATAGAGAAGTTTATGACCAGGTTTAGGATAGATGACCGTACTATTAAGAGGGGCAAACTTGTTTGCATATCGATCATCTAGTGCCACTTGAGCGATCTAACTATGCGACGTTCTAGGATCGAGTAGCGTGGTAAGAGCAAGTGAAAATCCTTTGAAAAATGTTTGAAAAATGCTAACACACATGCACATGATGATGTACACTTGGTGATGTTGCCACATTTGCAAAGAAAAAAAAGTTGGAGGAGTTTTAGTGAAAAACTTGTTCTAGAAAAGAGAGGAGATGATACTTGTTTTGAAAAACTGCTTTTATCCTTTGTGAATTGGATAAAAGGGGCTAGTGTGTTGTGTAGCCCTCTGAATAAGCTTTCCAAAATATCAAAGATCATCGAATTTGGAGTTCGGAGCTAAAAGTTATGGCCAGTTGAGTGGAAAGAGGTCTGGCACCAGACGCTAGCACCAGACTCTTTAGAGACGCGTCTGGTGGCACCAGACGCATCAAAGACGCGTCTGGTGGGTGCGTCTGGTGCATGTTTTTAGCGCGTTTTGAGCAGTTTTCAGCGGACGCTTGCACCAGACGCTCTGTGGTTACTGTTCATGCGTCTGGTGAGTGTTTCTAACGCGAGGAGAAGGCACCAGACGCGTCTGGTGTGGAAAAACACATTCTAGATCTCTCTAGACAGCACCAGACTCTGCATCTGCCCTAGACTCACTGCAGCGTCTGTTGCAGCGTCTGGTGCCTCGCGTAGAATACCCAGTGAAGGAGCTAACGGCTAGTTTAGCCCTTGGGGCTATAAAAGAAATGTGTGGCCGACCATGGGAGAGGGTTAGCACCCTTGGGACTTGGTGTCCATGCTAGGGGAGTGCTTGGAGAGCCCTCTACTCACTCTAACCTGATAGTGATCATCCGATTGAGTGAGTGAACGATTCTAGTGTGATTGCATTGAGAGAGTGCATCGAGTGGCACTAGGTGATCGTGTTGCAAGCCGATGGTGCTTGTTACTCTTGGAGGTTGCCACCTCCTAGATGGCTTGGTGGCAAGGGACTCCATGGAAGCACGCATGTGGAGATTGTGCGGTGCTTCGGAGGAGGATTTGTGAGGGGTTCATGCTCGCCCGTGGGGATCGCGAAGGGCAACACTAGTAGAGTGTGGCATTGAGTTACCACACTTGTGTGTGGGTTCGCTCGCGGTGCCTTTGAGAGGCATGCCTTTGAGAGGCATTGGCTTTGGGAGCCATATACCGGAGGAACCACCAAGGTGTTGGTCGACACACCGATGACATAACTTGGTGGCAACCAAGTGAACCTCATAAAAAATCACCGTGTCAACATTGTCTACTCTTCTCGGTGGTTTGCTTTCTCCGATACACAAGCCTTGTATTTACATTGATATATATTGTATGCTTGTGTAGTTGCCTTTGCAATTAGTTAGCTTGTGTAGCTTGCTAGTTGCCTTCTTGCTTGTATAGCTAGAAGTAGAACCCTTCTCTTGCTTAGTTTGTGTAACTAAGTCAGTTGAGCTCTTGGGTTTAGCTTGTGTAGCCTTGTCCTTGAGCATTGTTAGTGAGCTTAGGTTGGCTTTGTGCTTTTGCTCACTAGAATTGTGTAGGTGCTCTCCCCGCTTGCTAAAGTACTAGTTGCTTAGGTTTGTGTGACTTTGCAAGCTAGTTTTGTTAGAAGAGCATAGCTAGCCCGACACCTTAATTCTTGTTTAGGATCTTTTATAAGGTGCTTGTAGAGTTATAGATATAGGGGTGAAGTCTTGGCTAGTCCGACGGATTTAATTCCGCACTTATATCGGTTAGCCAGAGCGATTAGTTTTAAAAAGGACTATTCACCCCCCTCTAGTCCGCCATCTCGACCCTATAAGTGGTATCGGAGCCGTGGTCTCTTTATTTGGTCTTCACCGACCGAGAAGATGACATCTAGAGGGTTAGATGATGTATGTGACACACACACATTTTTATGCACACACTTTGCACGGTGGAAACACCACATGATTGATCATATTCGTGCCATGGGACCTAAGTTTTGGTGGGTTGTCACAAGTGGTCTCACCCATGTATTGGATCATAAGACTCTAACCAAAGCTTAAAAGGTTCTATTTAAACTTGATTCCGATGCTTATTTGTTTCTAATTGAAGCTTTGAGTTTTGAGTACTTTTGCAAGGTGAACCACAAGGGAACCGCCCATGAGCTATGAGAATCCATCAAGCACACCTTTGGTGACTCCTCCACATGGGATGATGGAAGTTCAAGAAGGAGGATGAGCCCAAGGAAGATGCTCATGAGTGTGTTGAGCATGACCACAATTTGGTTGTGGAGGATTGCTCCAACTCATGGTCAAGTGATGATGATGATTCTTCTACCACAAGTTCACTTGACAAGATGGATGATGATGCCTCAAGTGTTGCAAGTGATGATTCTACTCCAAGCACACTTGATGGTGATGGTGATGATTCATGCTCGGTTGATATTGCTACTCCAAGCTCATCCACTACACCACATTGCTTCATGTCATAAGGTGACACAAAGGTATCAACTTGCAATGTGATTGATCATGATTCATATGATGAGCTTGTTAGTAGACTTGCTAGCATGACCATGTCTTTAGTAAATGAGAAAGCTAAAACAATGAAATTAGAAGATGAAAACTCATTTCTAAAGACCACATGTGAACAACAAAAGCATCTACTCTATGTTACTACTTGTTCACATGAGGAACTTAGTGTTGCTCATGATAACTTGCTACAAGATCATGCTTTTCTCACTAAGAAGCTTTCTAATGAAATTAAAACTAGTGAGAGCTTATCACTTGGGTCAAATGATCAATCACATGTTACTAACCCTTGTGATGTAGGCAAGAAGCATGTATCCACCTCTTGTGATGATTTACTAGTTATGCCATGTTTTCACATATAGATGCTTGTTCTACTTCTATGTCTTGTGAGACTAACCTTTTGAAGGAGAACAATGAGCTCAAGAGTGAAGTGAAGAATTTGAGTGACAAGTTAGAGAGATGCTATAACTCAAAAGTCACCTTTGAGCATATGTTGAAGACTCAAAGATACTATGGTGACAAATGTGGTCTTGGGTTCATAAAGAAGAAGATGACCAAGGTTGGTTTGGGCGGATTGCAAAAGCCACACTCTAAATTATTAGAGAGCTACAAGAAATATGGCAACATGAATGGCATCACCTACAATAACTCAAGATCAAAGGCAAAAGATGGGGCAAAAAGAAGTATGAGAAAGAAATGAAGAGATTAGAAGAAGAAAAGCTTTCTCACTTCATGTGCTACAAGTGCAACATGATGGGCCACCTTGCCAAGTCATGTCCAACAAAGAAGCCCCAAGATCAAGTCAAGACCAACCATGAAGACAAAGATGGTGGTGACTTGAAGATAATGAAGAAGAAAACAAGAAGGGGTGGCAAAGCAAGAGCAAGGCATCCAACTCCTATTCAAGATGTCAAGATGATGAGCAAGATTTAAGAAAAGAAAGATTTGGCTCACATCAAGTGCTTAAAATGTGAAGACATGGGACACGTTGCCTCAAAGTGTCCTACCAAGCTCGAGAAGAAGGATCAAGCAAATGAGAAGAGGCAAGGCAATGAGAAGCAACACATGAGCAAGGAAGACAAGGCTCAATCAAAGAGAGTTTGCTACTCATGCCGGGAGAGGGGACACATGGC